GAACGCTACATAGTGTACCAAAGTCGTGCGAACCCGTTCATATCATACATATAGACCATTTGGTTCCTTTGCCAAGTATCAAATCTAAAACGAAGCATTTACTTGTTGTCATTGATTCATTCACCAAATTTGTTAAGTTATTCGCAATTAACAGCAGAAACACTTGGGAAACCAGGGAAGCGTTGAGTAGATACTTTGAGTTCTATAGTCGCTCTACACAAGTAATATCGGATCGCGGAACATGCTTTACGTCTTTAGAATTTAAATTTCCTACAAGAACGAGAGATTGAGCACATTAAGGTAGCTACGTATGCACCGCAGGCTAATGGTCAAGTCGAGCGTGTTAATCGCGCCCTGACACCGATGCTTGGTAAATTGTCTGAAACCCTACTACAAGATTATTGGTATACACTCAAGTTTGAGCACGCTATTAATAACGCTGTTCATAGTAGCACTCAGAAGACACCTAGTATGTTGGTATTCGGAATACCTCAGAAAGGACCTGTTGTTGATGAATTGAATACTTGGAGGGTAAGTTAACTTCAGATCAAATAAACTAAGAGTCTACACGAGAAAAAGCAAGTGAAATTAATCTGCGTTCACAGATGAGGCATGAAAAGATATATTCAAAGAAACATTAACCCCCTTTTATGTATAAGATAGGCGATTACGTAACCGTTCGGCATGTAGACACTACGCCCGGTATTAGTAAAAAGCTTGCACCTAAATACCGAGGTCCATTCAGGGTTAATCGAGTGTCTGATAACGATCATTATGAAGTGGTAGACATTGAGGATTCCCAGTTAACACTGTTGCCGTTTCGTCGAAGAATATTAGAACCTGCAAGACTTAAACCTTGGTTGCAGTGCTAAGATAATACGATAGCTTTATGTTGTTAACATATGTGTAAGCAATGGATGTACGTTAATATAATATAATCTTATGTTATATTGTAAGATCGTGGTAAATCTGTAGTCAGGTTGGCCGAATGTAAGATTTGGAATAGTTTGAATTTAAATTCGAATAAATCCGCTGTTAAAATAAGTTATCGATAAGTTGCACCTTTAACCACTAACTATACAGCTAAATATACATGTCAAACAGCGGAATAATCGGATACCGATAAATCGTCAACGACTGAGCCCCATGGGTGTCCGCGACCATTTTAGTGTGCCCAGACAAAGTAAGACTGCTGAGAGTGGCAGCCGAACGCCGGCCTCGAAAGCCGAACGTTCAGTATGAAGCCGCATCTCGCTTAGTGTACAACGTCGCTGCGGCTGATGCCTTTTCATAATATACATATGTTAGTTTTAAATCCTTACAGACCAAATACATATGCGTGTATGCATGTGCCGAGTTTGCCTCGCTCCCACTCATTGCTTTGCGCGCTTGTGCGCATCTTTTTCTCTCTGCATAACTTCTCAAAAACCAGGAGATCTACAAACATATATATGTTTGTGTTGTGTGGATGTGCGCACAAGTAGATCGCGGCATTTGTCGCGAGCCAGAGATTTTTTTTTCATTCATGCGTCTAGCATGCGTCTGCATCCATATCAAAGTGGAAACGAGCGACAAGTGCGTTCACTTGTCGCCCAAATTTACGCACCCATTGATGAAAATATCTCTGTCTCACAACAAACCCTTGATCGGCTCATTCGCACACAGTTTTGTGTGTGTGTGTGTGTCTGTGTGTAGAGCTCGAAAATCAGAAATGCCAAAAACTTCAAATTTGGTCAAATTTGCATCGGGCAGGCATGCAACCTACACGCACACAAACGCATAAATGCTTCTAATCATATAGAAAAGTGTGTAAGTGTGTGTGCTTGGCAGGCCCAAAGAGTTATCATGCACTTATGCCAAAGTTCAGGTACCCTTACCCTTACAACAATCATGGAAAATAGGAGTTTTGCACATGAACAGGCCAAACCTTTTAATAATGTCACCCAACTGCTTACTCGAAAGAGTGTGCGTGTGCACAAGTAGCCAGTCGAAAAAACTCAACATTTTCCATTTTTGGTCTTTTCTTAAATTATTCGACAGGCTGACGAAGAATTACCCTTGCAGAAATACGACTTAGTTTTTTTTTTAATTTTAAGCAAAATTGGTCCCCACAGTAAACAAAAATATTAGAATATATAATACAAATATTTCATTTGGGTCATTTAAGTTTTTAATGAATATAAATATATCAGATTCGTCTCATTATGCCTGACTGGACGAAGAAATACATTATAGAGCATTTGAATATGTATGCCACAGGCACAAAGGGCACACAATTGAAAAAAAAATCTGTGGCTCGCGACAAACGCCGCGATCTACTTGTGCGCACGTCCACACAACACAAACATATGTATGTTTGTAGATCTCGGGGCTTTTGAGAAGTTATGCAGAGAGAAAGATATGCGCACAAGCGCGCAAAGCAATGAGTGGGAGCGAGGCAAACTCTGCACATGCATACACGCATATCTATTTGGTCTGTAAGGATTTAAAACTAACATATATATATTATGAAAAGGCATCAGCCGAAGCGACGTTGTACGCTGAGCGAGATGCGGCTTAATACTGAACGTTCGGCTTTCGAGGCCGGCGTTCGGCTGCCACTCTCAGCAGTCTTACTTTGTCTGGGCACACTAAAATGGTCGCGGACACCCATGGGAGTCAGTCGTTGACGATTTATCGGTATCCGAATTTTCCGCTGTTTGACATGTCTATACATTGTATAGTTAGTGCTTTAACACTGTTAAATGTAATTGATATATCGATACAAACCGAAGGAATGTATCGGTATTTCAATATCGATATCAAACAGTGCGGCTGTGTCGAATAATAAAAAACCAACTTCCGTGTTTTATAGTATCAACGTTTCTCCGACCATTTCAGTCTTGTGCTGAGAATCTTAATGCCGAAAAACAACCTTTTTATTCAACATTTGATTTGCATATTTCATTCAAAAGCGGTTGATTTTGAGAAATGTCTACCAAATAAATTCCATTCCCATTCACCAAATTTCATAATTGCGGGTGGAATTTTACAAATGGCTGAAACACGCCTTCATTAAGGTTTAATGTAGTGCTTTAAAAATAGGTTTGAGGCTGATCGACGAAACTTCGCCCTTAACACCCTTAATCAACTATGAGAGGCGGATCCAAATTATTTTCACAAAGATCTTTGTAAATGATTTTGAAGCAGATCGGATGGTACACAAAAACTTTTACTCAACCGTTTACCACAGTTCTGGTGGGTCGAGCGAAAGTTAAGACTAGCCACAAAAGACTTTGACCCGCATACTCCATCCAACAGCGGTGGAATTTGAACGAAGTTCTTTGAAAATGACTGAGACAGAACGAAAAGTTTTCGCGATCTGCTTACACTTGCGGGTGGAATTTCCCCAAACACTGCGTAAACGCGCAACTACAATCACATAGCAAAACTTCAGTACAAATTTCAGCTTCAGTTACAATAAATTGTTATAAATATAGATTAGCGGGTATATAATGGCATTGCTCGTGGCAAGATTTTTCTGTTTTTAAATTTACCGGTGCTAGTTAGAGATCCATTGAAAAACAATGGGAGTTCGCGATTTGCTTAATCTTGCAGGTGGAATTTCCTCAAACCCTGCGTTAGCGCGCAACTACAATTACATAAGAAAGCTTCAGTAAAAATTTCAGCAATAGTCCACGTCTATAGGTATATTTCATATAGATGGAGACTAAAACTCTTCACCAAATTTGCAGAGTTGCCGGTGGAATTTTGTAATTCGCTGAAAAATGTATTTATTAAGTTTGTATGTACAGCTTTGAAAATAAACCTTAAACCTTCGCCCATACAACCTTTGGGGACAATTTTCTGCCCAGAATCATTGAAATTTCCAAGTAGTATGATACAAGTCTGAACACAAAACTACAATAAAAACAAGTAAGAGGTTTTAGTCGGGAGCTCCCAACTAGGCGTTACCCTGAAACCTCCTCTTCCGACACCAAATGCAGCTCGCGCTACGCGCATGTTTGCTTTAGTAGTAATAAAAATGAATTAAAAAAAAAAAATTTCCTCAGTAGGCTTCGACTTGCGACAGACCGCATTACTTGCCGCCGCCCCTACTCAACCAACACACCAATAATAAAGTCTTAATGAGAAAAAAAACGAATTAGAATAGCAGCACAGAAAACAATACAATCGCAATTGCAATGCTCTTGATAGAATTCAAAGCAGACGCGCATGAATGTGTGTGTACATGTATATAGAAATTCTTGGAATTTGCGCTTGCTGCCGCTGATACGAGGAGAGGTAAAACACGTTTTCTTTAATAACCAATCTTAATGAAATATTCTACAGTACATCTTATTGTACTAGAGAATATTCGTGTATTATCAAAAAGTCAATTGCATTTAAATTGTGGCTTATATCGGTGGGAGGCATAAATTGATGTTTCTACTTGATTTATAGCTATGTGATAGTAGCGGTGAGTTGGAGATAAAATTTGGTGACTCCAGCTCTTATTATTTACCAAAATTGCTCAAAACACGGGTGTTCGATATCGATTTTTATCGATTACTTGGAAACGGGGCAATTTATCGAATATCAGAAACAAACTCGATCTGCGCGGTTACTAGGAGAACCTACAGCTATTTCAAGTCTCTAGCTCTTATAGGTTCTGAGATCCTTGCGTTCATACATACGGACAGACGGACGGACTGACAGACGGACATGGCTCGATCGACTCGGCTATTGATGCTGACAAAGAATACATACACTTTATGTGGTCGGAGATGCTTCCTTATACCTGTTACATACATTTGCACAAATACATCATACCCTTTTTACCCATTTTTAATGGGTTCGGGGTATAAAAATGCTTCTGCTCAGGCTGTGGTTTGGCCGTTATTTGCTAACCTAGTGTACGCTTCAGTGCATGATAAATAAAAATTAAGTTCCGAGTGTAGCCTGCCTAAGAATTAATATAGTACGAAGCTATTAGGTTGGTTTTCCAACCTGATTTTTACCTTCTCTCGAGGTGAACAGTGTCGTTCTGCGTTGAGCCATTCCTCTCCAGCGGCTTCCGCATCCGCCCGGTCCCTGATGAGTCGGTCTCTGTCGCTTCGGGCCCCTCAGTCCCATTGGCACACAATGTCCCGTTGCTCGTTGCTTTGGTTGGCACATTATGTCCTAAATGGTTACGTTAGGTTTGTCCGATAAATACACATAAAAAATCACAGATTAGTAAGAAAAAAATAATTCAACAAGAAAGAACGGCTATCTTTGGCCAAAGAATAAATTCCTTTATAGACATAAGGCTTACGAATTCGCAAGAAAATGGCGAACCTTGTAATGGCTATGTGAAGTTAAGATATCTAGAAAGCAGAACGGTTCCTAGATAAAACTAATATTAAATCGGTTATTCCCTTAGCGCTATTTTATAAAATGAGCATAGTAGTTCTCGTAAATATCAAGTTTGGTTTAAATATATTATTGAAGAGAGTTATTCATACAACAACTTAATTGTTTTTATGACATTTATAAGATAAGAGTGGTTCGATGTTGATAAGATTTAGCTTTTATATAGGGAGCATTTTGAAACTAGTAAATACAGTGTTTAGTAAAGATATCTTAAAAAACAAAATGTTGTTATACAAAAACTTTATTTTCGAGATACCTATGTAAAGTATATTGAATGTAACTTAAAACTGAGAGACTTGCATAGAAAAAAAGAGAGAAACACACGGACAGAAGGACAGCCGGGCACAACTATCTCGATTTATCAGTTGACACTGATCAGAAATACAAATATACATTATGTGTCTCCTTCTAAGTGTTACAGTTTTCTTGACGAATTATATTATCCACTGCGTTGATATATGAAAACAATGAAAGCGAAATGAATGTATTCTTAAACTAGATAAATAAATACTCTGCATGGTATTTGTTTTTTTTTTTATTAAAACATATAAACACACTACAACGAATGCCTGACGCATTGGTCGATATTATGAAAAAAAACAGCACGCACTAGTACATGTCAACCAACCTCTGTTATCTGCTGAATTATTCTTGCATGTGTTTTTTTGCAAGCAAAATAGTTGTGATATTTTATCGCGCATGGCATGGACGGATGAAAAAAAACCAAATTTATATCGTCACGAATTCGGCAAAAGCACGTGCTGACTGGTCTATTAATCAATAGCAACTGTTAGAACAATTTGCTGGGGTCTCTTCAAATACCGTTGATAAGCTAACGATGTGTTTTGTGAAGGGAGCCGAAGACGAAGCGTCGAATGTCGAATTGCTGAGATCTGCTTTCTCCCGTATGAGCGGTCAAGCTCTCTGAACTGTCACAAAGCGCTCTCGGGTCTGCTTCGGTTGTAAGTATTAGTATACATTTGTAGTTTTGCTTGCGCTATTTACAAGGTTCTGAAGCACTAGTTCTCGTTAGTTCATTTTTTAAATTTCTCAGTTTAATTCAGAAAACTATTGTGATTTTTTTTGTCTTAGCCCGCCTTTGCAGTTAGCTAAAAATTTGTATAGCGCCGCTCGCCACTATAGAGAACTATTTTGCAGATATGTGGCTATACAGCAAACGTGAAAATATTATTTCGAATATTTTCTATGTCTGTATTCCATCGCTATTTTTAGCAGTGTTAGGAGTATGTATGTATGTATGTATTTAGGAATTTAAAATTTCGTATCCCGACTTTTTGTCTATTGTGTGTACATGCAGACATATGTATGTATGTATGTAATTATATGGGTCTACGTAGTATGCGGCCTAAGTTACTAAATTGCACTTGTTTGATGTACAATCAACACTGCAACCTAAGCTATAACGCAAGGACCAAGCATGGTTTTTATTGCGTTGTGCGAAAAGTACGAATTTCTTTATTCTCTCTTTCCTTTTCTTATTTAAATAATTAAATATCAATAAAACTGTTTATTTTTATTTGTTTATATATTTATATTAATATATGTATATATATATGTATATATATATAAATATAAAGATATTTATATAAATATATATGCATATATAAATATATACATATGTATGTACATATATTGATTTGGTTGTTTCTGTTGGTTTCTCTGTCTCTAGGGTATCTCTTAGTAGTGAGCCGACAGTCACTCTTCTTTCTCTCTTATAGTACACAAAGTTCTCGTGCATTGCGCATTTCTCTCCCATCTGAGTCAATTGTATGTTTATTAATAGAGAAACCCACTTTGGCTACTTCTAACTATTAGGTCATGTTTTGCTGTCTATTACGTACTAAATCGAAACAAATCGAATCAATATTTTTTGCTACGTCACAAAATTTTTACACTTAGCAAGCACATTTGTATGTATATGCAGGTATGTATATGTATATGTCTGTATATATATTTAACAACACTGTTAATAAAACCATGAATGAATGTACATACATATGTATGTATCGTTCTAAATTAAGAGCTATACATTGGATTCGATCTGTTTTTAAAGCAGGAAAAAAAAAATTTTGCGTTAAAGTCGATATCTGTATATGTATATATATATACATATGTATATGTATGTATATACACATAGACATAAAGATACAATTGTTCAAATAACACATATGAACATATGTATGTACATATGTTCATTTATTAATCATTGCCTTACAAGTATATATGTATAAGCATGTATTCATACGATCAAACGTTATTAAATAAGGGTTCGTGTAGTTTATTAAAAAGTAAGCTTTTTATAGAAGATAAAATGCAATAATTAAAATAATTTAAGAGTGCGTGGATTCTAGAAAGGCAGACCTAGTCGAGCGCGCTTGACTACAAGATTCCCTGTAGAACACACACATACAAAAGAGCGCCGTAAGACACACATCTAAAAAACGATGTGCTTCTTCCCCCAGCACCTCGCTTCGGAATATCGTTATTGAATAACTTCGTTAATTGCTCGATCGTTTTAACATTTTCAAGGTGCAAATTTGACGATTAAATGTAGAATGTGGTAGCGGGAATGTATGCAAAATTATCTGCGAGATTTGCAAATAAGCAAATTGATATTAATTGAGTTTCACCACTAACCAAACAGCATATAAACTGGACAACCAGTACAAATGCTGGGGACAAGCGTTACCAGTGCGGCTGGTCTAAAGTCGCCTTCGTTTTTGTTCGGGTTCGAGACATGCCCGCATTGTCTCACAGCAAGAGAGTAAGAAATACATATGACCTGTGTCGTAGAACGGCATCGCTGTTTTTTATCTCGCTCCCACTACAGGAAACTGCTTTGGCTTACTCTCAGTGATCTTTCAATTTGTCTATGTACCGTTTAAATGTTTGTGTGTGTATGTGTCCGCACAAGCAAAAATGCCCACAAATACAATTTTTCTTAAAAGTCGGTGGCATTTCTCCACTTTTGAGGGGACGAGTAATATGAAATAATGCAATAATATGAAATATGAATAGAAGCATTTATGCGCTTGTGTGCCTGTTGGTGCCTGCCTGCCTGTCTGAATTTCGAGCTCTACACACACACACACAGACACAAATTTGTGTGAAGGGGCAGATCATGGGCGCAAAAGAAAATATCATTATTGGCACGCGTTTGATTTAGGGTTTTTATGATTTAGGGTTTGAATTGAATAACTTGAATAAGATAAGTCAAAAAAAAATAAATACAATGCAATACAATACAATGCCACCGACTTTTGAGAAAAATTGAATTTGTGGGCACACACAAACATTTAAACGGTACAAAGACAAATTGAAAGATCACTGAGAATAACCCAAAGCAGTTTCCTGTAGTGGGAGCGAGATAAAAACAGCGATGCCGTTCTATCGCACAAATCATATGGATGAGAGTAATCCAAAGCAGTTTCCTGTAGAGTGAGCGAATAAAAAGACAGCAATGCCGTTCTACGACACAGGTCATATGTATTTCTTACTCTCTTGCTGTGAGAGCATGTGAAAACCGAAGGCGACTTTAGACCAGCCGCACTGGTAACGCTTGTCCCCAGCATTTGTACTGGTTGTTCAGTCTATATGCTAATTGGTTAGTGGTTTCACGAAATGTTATTCCCAAAATCGTTGAGACGTTGCTTTCAATTATTTACATATGTATGTATATCGATAAGACTATTACCACTAACCATACAATGCATAAATATGTCAAACAGCATAATAATCGAAACACGATAAATCGCAACAATTGAGCCCCATGGGTGCCTGCGACCATTTCAGTGTGTTGTGCGCAGCGACGTTGTGCGCTGAGCGAGATGTGGCTTCATACTGAACGTTCGGCTTTAGAGGCCGGCGTTCGGCTGCCACTCTCAGCAGTCTTACTCTATCTGGGTACACCAAAATGGGCACAGGCACCCATGGGGCTCACTCGTTGCGATTTATCGTGTTTCGATTATTCTGCTGTTTTACATATCTATGCATTTCATGGTTAGTGCTATTACATAGTTCGATTTTTCGTCAACGCGTTTGGTAAAACCGATGTATTTTATAGATATGGGCCCCTAAAAACAAATGAATGAATCGTTTGCCTTAACATTAACAAAAACTATTATAAATATTGCAGCCGCGTGGCCGGCCAATATAGCCACACGTTTTCCTTAATGACTTCTGTGAATTTTAACCGAACTTGGAGGAATTTTCGGGAGTAGATATAATTGTGCTATCGAATACTTGTATATTATAAAGAAGACAATTTCAATAACTTTGTGGTTTTAATTGGAATGTAGTTCCTTACAGACGGACATCACTAGATTGGCCGGATATTAATGCTGATCAAGATTACATTAATTTGCGTAAAACCGTATACCCTTTTTAACTTTTGCAGTGGGTTGTGAGTGTAAAAACATAGCTTTTAAGGAATTAAAGTTAGCGAGTGTCCATTGCACGATCAGCGGCGGTAATCTGATTCCTTGCATGTGTCGCAAGAGCAGCGTTATCGCTTATGCTTAGGCGGCTTGTCGGCTGTAGTTTTGTAGCTCTTGCTTTTTTGTAGCCTCAGCTGGTGGCTTAAGTTTTAGTTCTGTCGAAATAGCTTAAGTCGACACTCGAGCTATCAATAAACATGCCCGGCACCGGGTCACAAACAACATTGGATTGCACAACGACTCGTACCGAAGGTATATACCGAATAATTCATTACTGAGCAACAAGGCCAGCATTCTACACAAGGGGAGACGAACATTAATTCCCGATGAGAGCCCGCCATTGGGATACCAAGAAAATTAAATTGAGCGGGACACCTATGGACACCATTACTGGATTCAACGTATGCATATTGCATATTTAGTTCAACCGCATTTTTAGAAGTAGGGTGTTCTGTATATATTTCGACTTTTAACAACGCAATTGTTAAGAAACGAATCTCAGATTTACTCCGTTGTTGGTGAAGACAAGATATAAATATATTCTTTGTGCACTCCGTTTTGGTTTTTGGTTTTTATTAAAACATCGGCGATTATAATATTCTAAGACCAAATAAATATTTACTAAATCTGTTTGCCTTTCTCTGGATTTGTTTTGTTTTATTGCGAGCGTATGCTTCTGCATATATATCTTTCTCTTGGCTGCGTTCGTTACAGTAGTAACCCAAAATAATGGACGATAAAATTGTCTATTTTCCAATTAACTTCTCTTGTGCTTGCGTATCAAAAACGGAAGAGGTCTTAACTCCCTACCTTTTCAGTAGATTCTCTTGCATTCAATTATGATATTATCGCTCTTACTGAGACCTGGCTAAATCATCTCAAATTCTTCGATATTTCCTTCCAAATACACCACATACAGGTGTGATCGAGCTTCCCGTATCGGAGGAGTACTTATAGCTGTTGAGCGAGCCTACTCTTTCGTCAGAACTTTCCTTCTCGAAAATCAGGTTTGTGGGTGTAAAAGTGGAATTTGGTAGTTTCTGTGTATTTTTTCCATGTTCCTATATTCCCCACTATCTAACATGTCTATTTACTAAAACCATCTAAATGTTATTAAATCTATATAAATATGTCTGATACGGACCTCTTATGCGTTTTCGATGACTTTAATCTTCCAGAGGTTGATTGGTCATCACCAATGGATTCAATTTGATTGATGGTCTACATGACCTTACTGCGGGTTAATCGGGTGCGTAACTCAAGAGATAGATCCCTTGATTTGATCTTCGTGTTGGATTCGTTCGACAGTTTTGTGCACAGGATTGAACCGCTT